AGTGTGGCGGCGGTAGTGAGGTTGGCCCAGCATCGGACATTGTTTCGTTCTGCTGTGCATGGGGTCGCTGTGAGTCGGTTCCGACTCGATGGCACCTGACAACAACAACAAGCTGCTTGTTTGACCTGAAGGGAATTCCAGGAAAACCAGTTCCTTTAAAGGGCTCAAGGTTCTAAAAGGCCTGGGTGGGTCACACCAACTCCATGGGTCCAAAATCTGGATTTGAGGAGAATTTAAACAGTTCCTCTTATGAGAGAGCTATTGTTGACTGAGTCTCTACAGTTAATGTATACATAGTCATAGCCTGATAATTATAGGACACTGATTTTAGGATTATTTTCTTGTTTCCTCAGGTCTTACAGTTTTAGGCTTTTCCCAGAATCTTTGTATCTGGATTTAAGGTTCATCATAAACACTGTTTTAAATGAAAAACTGTGTTTTATGTTAACTTCTTAAACTTTATTAAAGATATATTCCTTTTATAAATTCTAAGAAGGGCTAATGTGGTATTTTCTTATATTAGATCCTCCCTGAATTACTTTTATCTCAGTTTATTCAAGGCCATATCTAACTTTTCTATTAAGGAGAACCTTTGTCATCATTTTCAATATAATTAGTCATTGTTGTTGTTTAGTGCTATCGAGTCAAGTCTGTTTTGACTCACAGCAACCCTGTTTGGAATTTCCAAGGAGTGGATGGTGGATTTGAACAACCTACCTTACATTTCTAACTGACCTTATGGTCTAGTGCTTATCCTACAGTTTCAAACAAGGACTCCAAGCTTGCCTGTTGTTGTTATTGTTAAGTGCTGTTGAGTAGGTTCCGAACCATAATGACACTGTGTATAGGGTTTACAAGGAGTGGCAGATGAGCTTGAACTTCCAACCTTGCAGTTCAAACTAACCTTGCAGTCCAGTTAACCCACAACACCACACCAGGACTTCAAGGTTACCTATAGCATCCCTGTATACGGTTTCTGAGGATCAGCTGCTAGATTTGAATCTTTAACTTTGTGTTTAGCAGTCCAGTGCTTATCCTACAGCGCCACACCAGAATTCCTTCTGACTCACAGTGACCCTGTATAGGGTTTTCCAGGCTATAAATCTTTATTAGAGCAGAAAGCCTAATCTTTCTCCTGTGGAGCGACTGGTAGATTCGAACTGTTGACCTTGCGGTTTGTAGCCACTATGCCACCAGGACTCTAGAAGAATTGTTGCATTTGCGTTATGGTGTTGGGAAAGAATATTGAAAATACCACAGACTACCAGAAGAACAAACAAATCTATGTTGGAAGAAATACAGTCAGAATGTTCTTAAGAAGCAAGGTTGATGATAACATAATTCGGACATGTTATCAGGAGGGACCAGTCCCTGGAGAAGGACATCATGCTTGGTAAAATGGAGGGATAGCAAAAAAGAGGAAGACCCCTAGTGAGGTGGATTGGCACAATGGCAGCAGCAATGGACTCAAGCATAACAACAATTGTGAGGATGGCACAGGACCAGGCATCATTTCATTCTGTTGTTCATAGGGTCGCTATGAGTCGGAACCAACTCAGTGGTACTTAACAATGACAACATTTTAATTTACCAGCAATATTGATCCTAATGCCTTCAAATTACAAATGACAAAATAAAACACAGTTAAAATTTGGAGTTTTGAAAGGCTTCTTCCACCAACACATTTTGTTAGAGTTATGTGACTGAGGGCTGTTGTATTTCTCTGTTTGTCTTGGATTAGATGTTAATAGTCTGCTTTGGCAGCCTTTGCACCCTGAGAAGGGGACCTTCCCGATTCATCCTTCCTTAACCTCCCAGTTCTACCATCAGGACATCCACATTTTTGACTCTGAGTAATAGCTTTGTTTGGAGTCAGCAGTTCAAACTCACTAGCCGCTCCTTGGAAACCCTATACAGGATTGCTATGAGTCAGAACAGACTCGATGGCACTTAACAACAATAACTGTGCATATCCGTCCCCACTTTGTTCACAGGGAAAAACCAACTTTCAAAACATCACCAAGGACTTTAGTTCCAGCCATGCATGTATTTAACCAGGCACCATGTTCTTATTCTATATGGTTTCTCCTTTTCCATAGTTTTGTGTTTTTTTTTTCCATATTTAAGTTCAGTACTATGAAGATAACTGTTTCATTTAAAACTATATTAGTTGCATTAATATCAGATACCAAAGTACATTGAATCGAAATACATTTGTCTTCGTCTCCTCTGGCAGACAGAAAATTGCTTTATTTCTAAATATTACCTGAAGTTTAGAAAACCCACTTAGCCTGTCCTGTCAGGCCTTGCCTTACTTTTTTTTTATAGGTGGTCCTGTACTCTGAAAATGCTTTTTACTAAACATAATGATCTCTTTATCACAGTTTTCTATCCTTTAGAATGAGAAGATTAAGAACTTGTCTATGTACATTAAGAATGCCATTGTTCAGTATGCTAAGTTGATTATTCATGCTTGCAGACCTCAGTTATGCAAAGGGCTAATCCATCTCCCAGAATTAGTCAGGATAAAGAGCAGTGAGTCAGCATGTAGTTTCCATCTGTCTTTTTGTGCCAATGCAGCTTATCTCCTAAAGAAATCCAGCCAAACTTGGTGCCTGTCAGAACATGTGGTTACAGGCTGGGATTTTAAATAAACAAAATGTATTCACAAGCTAAGTCAGCTACCATGGATCCAACCCAAGAGCCTAATGATAAAAGTGACTCATTTCTCTGTCCTACTGTGATTGATGGACTGACTCCTAGTGTGGTGCTGTAGGATCAGCACTGGGCTGTAAGCCGGAAGTGGTTCAAATTCACCAGATGCTCCTTGGAAACTCTATACAGGGTCTCTATGAGTCAATATAGATTTAACAACAACAACACATTGTGATTAACAGAGTCCCACCAAGTTGGTGCAAAGGTGCCCTGGTGGTAATGCTGCGAGCTAGGCATTGGACTGCTAAGCACAAGGTAGGTGGTTCTAATCCACTAGCCACTTCATGGGAAAAAGATGATGTTGTCTGCTCCTGTAAAGATTTACAGTCTCAGAAACCTGTATAGGATCACTATGAGTCTGAATTGACACAGTGGCAGTGGTTGGGTTTTGCGAGGATATGAAATTATTAACGAGTTTGACTGCTAACCGTGGGTTGGAGGTTCAAGTTTACCCAGAGGCACCTCAGAAGAAAGACTTGGCTATCTACTTAACAAAAAATTAGCCATTGAAAACCCTATGAAGCATAGTCTACTCTAACACTCGTGGGGACAGTCCTGAGTCAACTCCATGGCAGCCATTTCTTGCGATTCACACCTTGAGCCCTTTTCTTCTTCTGCCAGTAATTTCCTTTTCCTTTTTCCATTTCCTAGCACTCCACTTCACGCCTGAATTACCAAAGCAGCGTTCAGGGATCTTCTCAGTCCCAGAGCACACTCGGCTACTCCTCCTCCGCCCAGCAGAGCGCGCAGTACCACCCATCGCACTCGGCCCACCGCTACTGAGCATAGACTCAGCCCCACAAGTGCATCCAAAAGAGCCAAAAAACGCCAACTCTGATGCTGGCCAAAAACTCACACACTTAGGAGGAGCACTTGATACGTATTTGTCAGGTCTGATACGTCTTCGTCTTCTTTATCCAGTTAAAGAGGATTCTTTTGAAGTTTCCCCCAACGCCCGTCCCCTGCACGTGTTCCATGGTGATCTCGGATGGTCTGATCCCAGTAGCTTCAGCATTTCTTGGAAGGACTTTCTGGTACACCTTCCTCATGCTGTAACAATCAGCATGCTCTGTCTTTTCAAAGCTCTTTTCATAGGATTTTAATGTTTTAGAAACAGGATTCCAGCGGTGCATAGTTTTATACTACATGAACTGTTTTAGCAACGCAGGTGAAAAGGCACCTTTTAAAGCACTACGTTGTTTTCACAGGACATCACTCTCTTGCTCATGGAAGTCTTAAACAGAAACTGTTACTGTCCCAAAGTTCTTCACGATTGTGTTTTTATTTCTCTAGTTTCAGGGAAGGTGGAACAGAGGGAACCTCCAACCAAAAACAGCCTAGCCCTTTGCAGTTACTATGCTTTATGCCATGAAGAACCGAAGTGTGCTGGAATTTTATATAATCATATATATGGAACTTAGTTCCAAGATCATCCTCTTATTCGGAAATGAACTCAATAATTAAGAAGGATCATTTTTAACCTTCATAGAGCTAAGTCTACCTTAAAAAGGGGTTCAAGAGCTTTGATGAAATACAGTCCCCTGGTGACCTTCGCCAGAAAGCTGCAAGAGAATATTAACTGCACTAGGATTTCTTTAAGAAGAAGTAATGTTGATTAAAGGATGTATTACTTCCCTTTGAAGGAAAAGCTTTTCGTGTGTATTGTACATAAAGTTGGCTTCTCTAAAGAACTGTCGGTTTCTTCCCTTCTGGGTCAGTTTGAGTAACTTTCTTAAATAATCATGGATACTCAAATAGAAGCCTGCAAATCAGTCTGCTATGAAAATAAAGAGGCAGTGCTATCCATTCATATTTGCATTAGACATAGAGTAACTATTTTTAAAGCATGTTAACATTTTAGGTTTTATTCATGTTTAAAGTATGTATTATGTATGCATAATTTTGCTGTTGTTACTGAAACTTAATTGTATCAAGAATCCTTTCATTGCACTGAATGCTTTCTTTTGCCCTTAGGAGAAAACTTAATAATTGTGCCTAAAAACTATGGGCAGATGTATAAGACTATACTAGCTAAAGTGAGCATTTGCATTTCCATTGTTTATGAATTAGAGGCTGAGGTCATTCTCAGCCAGTTTAGGGAGCCTCTTTCTCCCCAGAGTCTGGAGGTAAAGACTTAGAGCTCCCATTGTAATGTAAAAGCCAAGGACTCTGTGTTCTTCTGAATGCTACTAACAGCACCAGCCTTGTTTTAAACATTGTTTGTTTTTTTCTTGAGCTAGAAGAAATAGCTGGCGTTGTATATGCAAATTATATTGTATTTTTCTTTTTTACTATTCTTTGTGAACTAATCTACCTGGTTATGATACTCTGGGTCCATACACAAGTAAAATAAGATTTTAGACAGAAGCCAGTATACCTTTTGCACTATTGATGTGATACCTTAGCCAGCAAGGACCTTACTGATCTCAATATAATCATGAAGATTGTACAGTGGTACTCATCAAGACTGAATATGGAACAGGTGACATGATCCTTTGGAAGTAATTTCTGATGGTCTCCTGGGTAGTTTATCCCTTCTGTTTTTAAAAACAAGGACTCAGTAACCCTCTGTATGATGCAGCTACCTGTATAAAGTTCCACCTGCGCCCTGAAGCCTCGCAGTCCAGAGCTGTTGGTCAGCAGATGCCGTGTGTGTGTGCTCAGCACCATGCTGGTATGCTTCACTACCAGTCCTGGCCGAGTTTATGTTCAGTTTATGATGACAATACATTCAGCTCTCCTGGGATGTCTGTGCCAGAAGATGGGCTTATACGTGAAACCATCTTATGCTAGGAAGGGTCTTTTGTTGATTGCAGACCTAACTTTGTTGGAGTTACTATGTGAAATTCTGCTCTACAGAACACAGTGTTATAGAGAGGCTTCTATTGTCCAACTTACAGTCAGAGATTAAGCATCACAAAGGCATTAGTGTATATTTGAAATGCTCACAACTACCTTTCAATAGCAATTGGGTGGTCCCCATAGGCAGAGCACACTCTACTAAGTGTGGTAGGAAATGACAGTGAAGACAGACTCCGCTCCCTTCCTGTCTTTGAGGGGAGCATACCTTTAATAAAAGAAGACAGACTCAGATATATGTACAAATTAAAATACCTTGCCTCTGAAGACTTTGAAAGCAACTTTAATCTACAGTTCTTGTGATATGTGCTTACACATTCACAGGACAACCCTGCTTTCCCTGTAGATGATGAATTTTACCAGCAGAACTGACATGAACTGGAGAGAGATTCCATCACATCCTCTCAGTTCACCAGGATGTAGCCAGAAATCCCCATGACCAACAAAAGGCTCACTGGTCACTGGCCTGATAGTGTCTCCTCCACCTCTGTTTTGGCCTCAGGCTTGGTGATTGGTGATTCCCACTGGTGCCAATTGCTCTTTGAAATGATTTTGGCTTGTAATTTCTTTTCCTCTAAAAGGAACAAAACCTTTTTTGAAGGGAAAAAAAAAGGTCTCTAAAATTACATACAGTCCTTAAAACTGTAGGACCTCTGAGGAGACCTGTGAAGCTTTTAGGTTAAAATTTATCTTTGTGGTCCCCAAATGATCCTATTCCTCTTTGAGAATTCATTAGATGTAGCCCTGTCCCCTGAGAACATAGGGCCACTCTTCAGTGGACCAACACTGCTCTCAGCTAGATTGTTGTTGTTGTTAAGAGCCGTTGAGTCAATTCTGACCCATAGCGATCCTGTATAGGGTTTCTAAGGAGCAGCTGGTGAGCTTGAACCACCAACTTTGCAGTTCAAATGGCTTTGCAGTCTGATGCATTAGCCTACAGCGCCACACCAGAACTCCCAGTGAGCTTGTGGGGACACCCAAACCAGAGAAGCACTGAATCAAAGTGAAGGCTGGCTGCTTTCCATATGACAAGTCAGTTTTAGAGTTGGCTTTCTAGTGAGATGGGTGCTTGGGAGAACAGAGTCTAGAGTTTCGAGACATATGAGCTCTTCTGTAGGCTCAGGTAGCCTTTGCAACAGGGCTGGCACTGGAAGGCAGAACCAGTCCCGGTGATGAAGTAGACCATGCAGTGACATACAGAAACCAAGGACATGGCTATTTTTATCTGTGTGTGGTTTTGAAACCTTAGTACTTAGATTGTTGGCCTTCAGCGCTACTCTTGCTCTTCTTATAAAACAGAATTTAAGAACAGAAGGCATGGTTTTGGCTACACGCTCACTGCCTGCCTCCTTTGTGGAGAAGCAGCTGGTAGCTATATGCCTCTAAAATGATGCTATTTTCTCTGCTGAGGTAAAAGAAAGAAAAACAAGGACACAGTTGAAGAATCAGATCGTAGCCTCATCTGCTCTGAATAAATTTATGTAGCAGAAACTATACAATGAAGGATGAATGCTATAAAAATCGCAAATCTCAAACTTGGTGATATCTTCGTAGGGAATGGAAAAGAGAGTGGAATGGCAGTTAGACTAAAGGAGGCTTGAAGGGCTCAAGTACAAGTGATGTTTTACAGAAAACATAGCAGTAGAGGTCCCCAGAATCTTCAAGGATAGTCACAAATATCATAAGGCGAAGTTCATTGTTTTAGGATTTAAAAAAATGTGTTGTACCTAAGGCCATACCTACTCTTCTATCACTGCAAAGGAGTGATATGTATGTATTATATGAAAAAAAAAATCCTTAATGCACTGTTATCTCCTAAATATTTAGTAAATTAATACTATTTAATTTTTTTAAAGATTTGTCTGTGTAGACACTAAAAGTATTACACAAAATCTGGACTGAAGATGTCCTTTTTAACAACAGTTTAAAATACTTTTTATATATGTTACATAGTACTTCCTTTCTAAACTGCCCTAGTTTGTATCTCTCATAATTCCTATTGTGAAGTGTCCCCATCCTCGTGTCCTTTTTCATTAATTTTATGCACGTATCCCCTTTCTATGATAATATAGATGACTGTATATTCTCCCCACCTCCCACCCCTGCTCTGCTGCAGAGGTGAATACTCTAGTCAGCTGCCTCCAGGGGGACCCACTCCACTGGGCTGCAGGATGAGCAGCCCTTTGCAGCTGAGTGTTCCTGCTTTTGAGTTGTCCTGACATCCTTCTTGAAATGACTGTTAAAACTAAAATAATTTACTTTGCATTTATTTTGTATTCTTGGTTGTAATAAAATTGAATTGACTTTGTTTCTGTGTGCATTTTTTTCCCTTGTGGTAAGAGTATATATAACAAAACATTTTCCAACTCAACAGTGTTTACATGTACAGTTCAGTGTGTTCATTATGGTGTACAACCACCACCACAATTCTTTCCAAATTATTCTACCGCCTGTAAGAGGAACTCAGTGCCCTCCAAGCAAAAATGGGGTCATATAATACTTGTTGTTTTATGACTGACTTATTTCTCTCAGCGTGTTTTCAAAGTACATCCATGTTGTAATGAATATCTTAAATATTAAAAAACTCCTGTAGTAAGTGAAGTTTTATCTGTGTCTAGTGGAACTTTTTAAAGATATCCTTGTCTTACATAGAGTACTAAGTTTACTTGAGTAGCAACAGTTTATCTTATTCAGGATATTTATGATGTCACAAACCCACAGAAGCAAACATCTCTTAAGTAAAATTATAGGTTTTTTTTTTTAACAACTCTGAGGGAAACTTCTGTGTTTTTGTTTTTTTTTTTTTTGAAATGAAAATTAGAATGATGTTTTAGAAAAAAAAAGTACCATGTTGTGGGGTGGGTTAGGTATTTGTCCTTTTATAAGGGCATTCTATTGTACCACTTTAGTAATTTACCTGGTGAATATTCTTTGGTTATTCTAACAGAAAGGAAGCATCATGGGGTGAAATAAAAATGTTTAAATGCCACCAAAACAAAACTTTGATTTCTCTTTGAAATTGATATTGCACATGCCTGCTGGACTGCTTGACGAGTTGGCACTGATCATATAGTCAATATTGTGCTACTTGTAGGATAAGCCTGCTCTTGAAAAACTGGTCTTTGACCACAGCTGCCTTCAAAGATAATACTCCACCTCAAATGACATGTCTATGTCCGTAGCAGACTGTAAGTTCCTTTTAGACAGGGCCTGGGTCTCACTCATCTCTGCACTTCCACACCTGGCATGATGCCTAACAGAGCAGGCGTTGAATATGACAAGTCAATAGTATCTATCACTTTTGTGCATGGGCGTAGAATTCCTTGATAATATATACCATGTTTGTATATGCACAGCATTGAACATAATTTTATTCCGTGAATAATAAAACTACCAGTAGTAATAGCCATCACTTTCTTAAAAGAGTTTCATTTCTTATATTTTTGGCTGCAAAGTCAGAATGTCACTCAAAGGAACAAATCATTCAAATTACATTTGAATAAAAATTATGCTGAGTTATTGTTGCTAGTCGCCTTTAGAAGCCATCTTTCTGTTGGCTGCCTAGATGTAGACATGCATATTAATAGCTCTTCTGCTATCATTGAATCTAGTAAGCAGTGGGAAGCCAGCTTGGACAAGAAACAAGCAAACCTGGTGAGAAGCTGTTCATTTTGTCTAAATGCAAAAGAAATTAAAATGTTGGCCTAAAACATTTAAAAGCACATGAGGAGGTTCAAAGAGTTCATGTAAAAAGTTCCATTATGTTTTCATTTCAATTTTCTATGAACTTTTTGAAGCTCTCATATACTTAGCACATTCCATGTTTGGTGCTCAGACTTGTTCAGAAAATGCTGCAGAATTCTCTTACAGAAAGATGCACTTCAACTTTGAAGCTGGTAGAAGCAGTCATCTCTGTACCATCCTTGACTTACTCCATCCTCTTTACAGATCAACTAATAAGACAGTCTTTACCTTCAATTTCCAATTTCCCCAACCACACCTCTTTTAGCACTGACTTGTTTAAGCGCATCTCTGCACTCTTTCTTCTCACCTCTCAGGGTCAGTTTAAAGATCTCAGAGTTTCCTACGCAAAGATGATCTCCATACTTGAACATGTGTATGGCACTATACAGTAACACTTGAAGATGATTGTCATCTTTCTTAAAAATTACCCAAACTCTTGCAATGACAAGTGTAAATGCTTCCCCACACCCACTCCAAAGTGGCCATTCTTTTTGTCTAATTTGTTCAGTACCTACTGTGAACCAGTTGCTATGCTGGACAATTAGAGATGCCAGTGTGTATAAGACAGAACACCTATTCTTAAAGGAAACTGTATGTAGATCAAGAGGCTGGTATCCAAACAGAATAAGAGGATACTGTGTGGTTTAAAGTCAGGAAATCGATGGCATGTTACCAACAGT